GGGTAAGTCACAAGATGGACAGAAGATACCTCCTTTAAAGGATAAGTAGCCACGCGTATGAGACGAAGGAGTATGAGCATGAGTATAAGATGAAGGAGTGTGAGTATGAGATGAAGTATGAGATGGAGTACGAATATGAGTATGAGATGAAAGAGTATAAGACGGAGTATGAGTATGAGACAAAGGAGTATGAGTATGAGTATAAGACGGAGTATGAGTACGAGTATAAGACAAAGGAGTATGAGTATAAGGAAGAAGGAGTATGAGTATAAGGAAGAAGGAGTATGAGGATGAGACAAAGGAATATGCATAGAGTATAAGGAGGAAGCAGGCGGACCGGTGAAGGAAATGGGCGTCATCATGAGGAAGCTTCAGGGTCACAGGGTTGTTGTAAGAAGCTTATACCTAAAGAGATGGGCATGGGCCTGCCCTGGACTGCAGTCCGTCAGTGGGAATAAGCGTTTGAAGGGCATAGTTGGCCACCTTCTATTCAGGCTATGTGAATAGCATGTGAGTTTATTTTCAAAATTCTTTTGATTAGTAATTATTAATGGTGACTTCCTGGAGGACAGTGGTTTTTAAGCCATGAGGTAGGGAGCAGAACCTGGAGGGTAGTTTACATTTTAAAACTTCTGAGTTATTGCCTTCTGGTATACAAAGTTATCCATTATCCTATTTGACCTTCATAACACGTTTTCTCTGTATTTTCAGAAAAAGAAGCGATGTTCAGAGAGGTTAGGAAATATATTCATCATCACACAGTCAGTGGTGGATCTAGGACATGAGCCTGGGTCTTCAGATTCAGGACTCCTGTCCTGCGGCAGGGTGGGATAAGGGCCTAAACCAGACTTGAAGAGGGTTGTGGCTTTTGCCAGCAACTGGGCGACACAAAGAGGAGTCTTTACGGGGAGGGTGGTGGTGATGAACCAGACGGAGGAGGAACCTGACATTTAAAAGGTGGGGCAGTGGGAGGCAGCAGAGCTCCAGGAAGGAAGCCGTTCCTTGCGCCTCCTGGGCCGAGCTCCTCCCAGCCTCGCCTGCCTCTGTGCTGGAGGGAGGAGAGCCCTGCCCTTGGGCCTCTCCTTTCCTGTCGAGTTGTCGTCATCCTTCCAGTCCTTCAGCAGGTGGGGAAACCAAGTCCCAGAGGCTCTGTGCTGGTAGGGAACCTGCTCTGTGAGTTGTAGGGCCCGGACAAGAGAGGCTTGCGTGTCTCTCCAGGGAAACCACCGGCTCTGGAGGAGTGAAATGGGAGCCGTTGCTTCCTATCAGCCCGTGTGTTTAGGGACAGCCCCTCCCGGGAGCCTCCTCTCCAGAATTGCTCCCACTGACCCTTTGACGAAGCTGTCCACCCAAGGGGCCATTTCACTCCCTGCTTTGGGACTGCGCCCTTCCCCCCTGCATGTCCAGCTCTTTCTTAAAGTTAACCAGTAACTGGTCTTTTTGTCATCCCACTCTGTGTGGGGAGCCCTTCTAACTTGGGGTTTTTGTTTCCTTTCTCTCTTGGGTCTGCAGCAAAGCTTTCATGTCCCTTTGTGGGGAGGACTTCACGCTGTCCCCCCAGGTGCCGGGCTGCCTGCAGCTACCCCAGCCACACCCACATCCTGCCCCTGGGAACAATGCCGCCTGAGACTGAGGCCTCCTCCAGAAGGCTGCATTTAGGCTAGGAGAGCAGGATCATCAGTCTGAGTGTGATGCTCCCGTGCACTTTTCCTCCTCTGTGAGGAGTTCTTTCCCCAAAGAGGAGCCTGATAAACAGCAGAAGCCTCAGGAACCAATTGGCTGGAAAAGAAATGACAATAAAAGTCGCGCAGAGTAAAGCCTCTGTCAGCCCTCATTTGAGTAAAACAGGCCTAGGAGTAGCAGCAGAGAACTAACTGTTTGATTTGTATAAGCCAAGAGGATTTTCAGCACTTAGAGTGAGAAGAAAATTATTTCAGTGTGACTTTGTGTCTTAACCCCCAGACCGGGAGCTAATTGCAAGCTTCTCCCCATGCGGTCGGAGGTGCTCACAGGAAGGTCCCGAGGCAGGCCCTTGGGCTGTCTGCACTCTCTGCGGTTTGTAACCCGGAACATGCTGTGTTGCAGAAACCTCTCCAGGTCATCTCTCCTAATTTGTGCACTTAATTGACAGCTTGTTAACAGTTCATTAGGAACACTGAAAACCATGTGGCAGGAACAGATCTCTCTACGGAGAGGATGTGGTCCTCCTTCGAACCACTGTTTACTAAATTTCACCAGAGACACAACAGCAGGGCAGAAACAGCCCACTGCCTCCTTCAGAGCAGGACTTCGTGTCCCTCCTTGCTGAAGTCCTCAGTTTCCGGACACTGTGCTGTCTCCTGGTGCAGGCTTTGTTTTAGCAGAATGGGAACCCGTGGGCCTGTGATGGGGACATACCCAGAGGTTCTAGGGCAGCAGAGGGAGGACTCACCCATCTGTGAAGACAAACTGGCAGCTCTTAAAGGCACTGGGATTAGGGGCACCTTGATCTTCCCACTCCTGCTCCCCAGTCCGCTGGGTCTCTGGAGACCTTAATTATTGTCTTTGTGGAGGCTTCTGGTAGGACCAGTTGCGATCCAAAATTCTTTCCTGTAATCCTCCCTGATCCTCTAGGGAGAATTAGTTGTCTCTTCGTCTCTGTGCCCATAACGCTCCACACTTCTTTCTGTTACATATTATCACATCGTGCTACTTAGGTGGCACCTCTTGGCCTGAGCATCTATGAACTTGTGTTTTCTCAATCTCTGCATCCCCAGCACTGGGCAACCCTGGGTTGAATTGTTGGAATAATTGCTTTTAGATCACGTTTAAGTATTCTGTTCTCAACCGCAACCCCACTGTCCCCCCCTTCAACCCAGCCACCTGGTGGAATTCCATTAGAACGTGAGCAAGAGTCTTCAGGCTGAGCCAGTATGTTAAATCATTGGCTTCTCCAAAATAAATTCACTCTACTTTCATTGCATCAAATATTTATTAAGCACCTACTGAGTCCAGGACTCAGGTGCTCGGTGGTGAGCAGAACAGACACAGGTCCCGCCCGTGTGGGTGTCATGATTATTAATCACAGTAATTGCTGTAGCCTGTAAGCTTAGGAGGAGCCTTGCAGCTTTCGAATGCACGTGGTGCTTTAAAGCCCTCAGAGCAGAAATGTGCTAAGGGACACCAGCACCAAGAACTGCGCCTTTTCAAAGTGCGTCCCTTCTTCCTTACCCCTGGAGTCCCCCCACTCACTGCCTGGTGCCCTCTTGTCACCAGAAGGAATTGGCTCAGCCAGCTATGGGGTTATGAAAAGATTATTTGAAGAATGCTTCACAGAAAGTTGATATCACAAGTTTTCTTCCATCTTTTTACTAGATTTTGAGATATGTGCCAACTTCACGCTTGGCCAGGCTTTCCTGTGTAATCTTGGGGTGCAAGATGATAACACTTGAGCTTTGTTCATAAAATCTTTCTGTAATTTTTAGTTCATGAGGCATCTGCGTCTTATATCCAGGGGTTATATTCGGGACTTCAGTACAGCAGGCTGGGGACATCCCACCTGGGATGGGGGGCTTGTTTGTGTGAAAGCTTTGTGCTGGGGAGACGTTTCTCCAGCCACAGGAGTCCAGTGGTTATGACACGTCTCTGGAGGGATTGAAATTAATTTTGTGGATGTAGTTGAAGCTACCAGAGAATCCAGCAATTCCCCAGTTGAGTCCCCACGTCAGGCAGGATACAGTGACAGCCTCAGACACATCTTGTTGAGTGTGGTGGTTGTTTGTTGGGGCCTCTCCAGGATCCACCCCAGCTTCTCACGCTGAGGGACTGACTTTCCTCTGGGGCTTGTCCCTCTCCATTCTCAGCCACCCAGTTTGGGTGGGATGGACCCTCCTCCAGCTCCTGGGATGGGCCCTGATTGGCCTAAACTGGTCAGGGAAGCCAGCAGTCACTTGCAGTGGTTGCTTCAGAAATGGACATGTGACCTAGTTCTGGCCAATGGCGGAGGGTGAGCCCTCGGATTTGTGGGGAGCTACTGAAGAGGATCTTTTTCTTCTGCTGGATGTGAGGTCGTCTACTGTTGGAGCCACTCTGAGACCTCAGGGTGACTTCTTGGAGCTGCCGGAGACCACAGAGACACTGGAGTTAAAGGCGACGTGGAGGAGTGCAGAGGGGAGAGAGTGTGAAATCAGGTCCTTGGTGAAACTGATGTAGCCTTTCCTGAAGCCTATCTCTTTGCCTCTGGTTAGGTGGACTGATGAGGCAAGCATGCCCTTTGCCTGCTGTTTGCTTGAGTGAACTTGAGTGGGTTTTTCTGTCACTCGTGACTGAAGAGTTCCTAACTGATAACTTTACCAATATCCCAAGTGTCCTACACTTCGAATCAGTTAGTCAGGGATCAATAACAGAATGGAACTTAGCCAAAGGTGGCAACTGTGAGAGTCTTGGGCAGGTCAGCTTAGATGTGGAAGCATCCACAAGCCCTTTTCACTCCTTATAAAGCGCAGCTGCAGCAGGAATCCCAGGAAGGTGATGCTGCCGGGGTTGGGCAGCTAGGGTGCTGACCGTGCCTGGCACAGGCCGCGTTCCACTCTTTGGGGTCTGATCCATTGCCTAAAAAGAGTAGTTAGTCTGTGTGTGTTACAGGGTGGCCTAAAGAAACTCGCCCTGAAAAGTCCTGGGCCACCGTCCCTGGGGTAGGGCAGGGGACAAATTCTGAGTGTGGACATCACTTTACAGGCTGTTAGAAGTAGCAGGAATGTCCTCCAGCACTGCTAGACTGCCAGCCTCTGGGTCTGCACGGTCCGTACAGTGGCCATTGAGGGATGTGGCCAGTCTGAACTGAAATGTGCTGTAAATATGAATATACACAGATTTTGAAGACACGGTACAAAAAAAAGATGAAGTCTCTCACTCGTAATCATTGGTATTAATTACATGTTGAGACTATAATATTTCAATATATTGGGTTAATGAAATATACTATTACATTAATTTCTGCTGTTTCTCTTGACTTTTAACAGTGTGGAAAACTTGACCCCACCTGTCTAGCTCATGTCACATTTCTACTGGACGTTGCTCCTCCTGAGGCCAGAGACGACATTTCATTAGCCCTGGATGCCGGTGTCTGGCACAGAGAGTTCTCCATGTGGCTCTTCAGGAAACAATCACAACCAAAACCTGCTGTTGAGAGTAGCCGTCAGCACACACCCGCCACCTGTGTCTGCATGTGTCGGTCGCCTCTCTGTCAAAGTTGTGTCCTCACGTGGTGAGGTCCTGGGTAAGGCCACATCCCTGAAAGTAGAAGGCAAGACTTCCCTGGGGAAGGTGACCATCCTAGGGTGAAAGTCCAGGCAGGAGGGGGGCCTCAGCCAGGAAAGGGGCCTTGGAGGCTGGAGAAGGGAGTCTTGTCCGTCCCTGGACCTCGCCTCTTTGGATCAAGACAAAGAAACTTCTAGATATGCCTGAGGATGCTTTTGGAGTGGGAAAAGGGAATGTGGCTTCTGCCACACAGGCAGGCTGGGAGCAGGTGGGCAGGGGTCCTAGGGCACCAGTGGGCGATGAGAGAGCTCAACTTCGTGACCTGGATCATCTGGGTGTCTGTCACTGTGTTAACGTCCTGGAGCAAAGCCTGCTCCCGTGTTGCTGTCCAGCCTCTGTGGAGAGGGATGTGCTGATCGGGGCTGGGTTGACCATGGTGGTCATAGCAACAGAGCTCAGTGAGGTGTCCCCAGAAGAAGGAGAAGCCTAGACCCTACCCCTCTGTGTGTGGAGATGCTTGCTCCATGGACGGCTCAGAAGGTCAGGGCTGCTGCTCATGGGACTTGTCTTTGCAGCAACACGTCTGAGGTAGGTCTGGCAGGACTGCCCACACTGTGAAACCAGAAAGTGACCTGATGGTGAGGAAAAGCATCCTCCAGCTTGGACTTGCTCAGAGTGCTTTGCTGAATGGCCTCTAGGACTTGCCTAAGCCAGGCGCCACTTGCAGGTGTTCCCTGACCCCTCCCGCTGGGCAGAAGGATGTCTTCCATGCCCAGTCCCCTTGGGCTACTGCGTTTGTTGTACTCTGGTGTGTTTGTTAATGACCCTGTCTCCTCTACCAGACCATGTGCTCCTCAGGGCATGGTTCATCATCGTCCTCCTGGCCCTGGCGCAATGTCAGACACTTAGCAGGCATTCAAGTTATATTTGTTTAAAAAAAGCAAGCGGATGGTTAAGGTCATGGGCTTATATGGACAGACATATATGGACAGTGCTGGGCACTGGGATGGAAGAGTGTTGTAAAGTGCTCAGCACGTCTGGCACAGAGCAGATGCGTATGTTCACTGTATGTACATCTGCAGATGCACGTGTGCATTGATGACCATATCGTCCTCCATGTCCTCGTTGGACAAATGCAGCCTTCCTGCCTCACTGGGGTAGAAGTAAGGAGACCCTGCGTGTACGCACAGTCTCTTGCGCAGACCTGAGATGAGGAGGCGAGGGCGGGGTCTGGGATTCCTCGGCTCGGTGCAGACCACCGCCGGCTGAGGCAGGGATGGCAGCTGAGCTCAAGCAGGTGCTTTGCTCTCTGGGTTGTCTACATCCGCCTGCTTTTTAAAGCTTGGTGTAGACAAGTGAGTGCCCAGGCACTGCTGATCCTGGAGCTGCGGAGCCAAGGAATCCCAGTATCCTACTCGCAGAACAGGGAACAGAGTTTCATCCTTGTTCTGGCTCCTCCGCAGCCCCAAAGGAGCTCAAGTGGACTGATGACACAGGAGTGATCTTTTAGGGAGAAATTATTTGGACAAAGCTGTTGGCTTTTATCAAGGTCTTATACATTTTCAGATTGGCAGCATGGTCGTTCCCACAGTGCAGGGCTGGAGGGTGACGGGTTTCAGTTGTTTGAGGCCCTAGAGAAATCAGTGCCAGCTATTTATTTTAAAAGTAGTGTCAAGAGTAGACGTTTCTGCAAATTATTCATGAGGTAAACAATTCAGTGTAGCTTCTTTGGAAAATCAGAATGAAGATGGCACTGAATGACTCCAGAACCTGTAGAGGGGAGCCTGGGCTGGGCTATCCAAGGGGGTTGCTGAAATGCAGAGCTTTCAGGTTCATTGGCACCTTCACCGAGTCAAGATCTTTAAGGCTGACACTAAGAAAGACTGACAGTTTAATAAGGAATTGGCATTGATTCTCAAGATCCAAGTGAGCACTGCTGTCGTTTTTATCCAAGCCCAAAGACCTAAAGTCCACCCTGTGCCCCAAATTCATGTTAGAGGGCCATTCTCCTCTTGCCAAAGACTGTCCATCTTCCTTGATTTTGTGTTTTAGCCTCTGTCCATTTCTTATTCAGTCTGTCAGTTTCTTTATAACTGGATGGGCTGAACCTATTGAGAAATCTCGACGACGTCGCTTTCTGGAATAAATGGCCTGTTTCCCACTCTTTGACTTACAGCTTCAGAATCTCACCTCTGAACTGATGTTGTTTTGATCCCACCCTGACACTCTCTTCTCCTTGGAGTACGTGGTCTGGTGCCTCCGAGAAGAATTTCCCTACTTTCTGGTCTTGGTTACCGTGTGGTGCCTGTTCCTTTCTTAAACCTCGAGCATGAGGCACGCTTTCCAGGATGCAGGACTTGGTAACCTTCATCAGTTTTTAGCATCAGCACTCTGTTGTTGTTATTGTTGTTGGAAATAGTGTATTATCTTCTATCGACGACTCTATGGTTTCTGCTTGTCACATGACTAGTCGTGTACGACCAGAACTGGAGGAAGTTTTCTCTGCATAGTCTTTGTTTCTCACTCTTCTTTGTCCTACTTGATGCTCCTGTCTCCCCTAAACCCTCACTTTTTTTGTTTTGGAATTATCAAACTACATATATTAATTTTTGAGAACTACAGATTCGGGACGAATTGTGCACTTTCCTCCGTCGTTCTCTCCATGTGTACTGTGTGAGAACGGTTCTGTGCGCACTCAGGTGGTTAGTATTATTCTGAGGTTCACATTAGCTTCATACTCACAAACACCTGGGAAAAGCAAGGAGCTCAATAACATCAGGTCTTTTCGCCCATTTTCTTAATGCTGTATTCATAAGAAGCTTTTAGATGAAATGCAGCTATACAGTGGTGAAAAAGCCTCCAGTCTTTGGAGAAATAATTACTTTGTGAAATCTGCAGACTTTTAATTACTGAGTTGAAATAAAATAAAAACAAGGCCAGATATTTTAGATGTTTTTATGACTTTTCAAAAACATTTTGGATTGAGCTGTGCTATATAAATTAAAATTTTAAATCAAAGTAAAATTAGAAATGAAATTTTTAGGAAAATTTCAAATGTTTAGGCAAAAAGTCAAACTATATACCATTTTGCAAGTTTGAAATTTTTAAAAGACCTATGCTTACTCAAAATGGACTGGAATCATTGCTTTGGAATTCTAAGGTTCACTTCAGAGGAATCTGCGATTTTTCACTGCATAAGAAAAATGAAGGCCAGCAAAGTGTTGATAACATGCTTCTTATTACAAAATACAAATTGTATCAAACCATCTTTTTTAAAAGGTATATATATATATATATATTTCTTTGCTGAGGAAGATTGGCCCTGAGCTAACATCTGTGCCAATCTTCCTCTATTTTGTATGTGGGTCGCCTCCATAGCGTAGCCACCTCTGAGTGGTGGAAGTCCACGTCTGGGAACTGAACCTGGGCTGCTGAAGCCAAGCGCATGGAACTTAACCACTAAGCCATGGGGCCGGCCCTTAAACCATCTTTTACTATGGTATTTGCCTACACTGTACAGGAGAGTCACTGACCAACCCCATCTCTTGTGGTCTCGGCGGCTGTCCACTTGGTGTCTGTACATGACACGAGGCTGTCGGACAGCCACACCCTGGTGTGGAGGGATTAGGAATGGCTGGTGTTTTGCTATCTATGATTTGGATCAGATGCTTAAAGAGGGTTCATCCATTCTACCCAGGGGCAGTTTTTATGGCCTTGAAGTTTGTGCATTCGGGAGAATCTATTTATGAAAAAGAATACAGAAATAGATGCAGGACCTTGAAGGGGGCCCAGTGAGTGAGGGTCCTGCAGCTCGGACTTCAGCAGTGTCACGTGAGCCCACACCTTCTCCTGACCGACCGGATGAGCACGACACCTGGAAGGAGCTGAGTCCTGAGACTGATGGGGAGTGGGTTTCAGAGCTGGTGAGTGTTGATGGTCCCTCATCTCCAGCGTCTGAGCAGTTGTCAGAAAACTGGGTGTTGCAAAAGATGAATTTGAGAATGCACACCAAGATGTGTTCTGATTATAATTTGTGTTTCATTACACTGTGCAAAATGTCAATGCTAGAATCACTTTTAAGCTAATAAAAATGCCAAGAACTGCTACATAATTTGTTTTCTATGTGCAATTTATCATACTTCTGTAGAGCATTTTAGTTCTATATGTGGTCTTTTAAAGTAACTTGTAAACTGTGTGTAACATAATGGGGCATCTCACAGGAGATGCTGATTTCGGGGCTCATTGTGATTTCTAACCTGCTGGAAATGCTTTTTAGAGGGTGGAGCATAATTGCTCCCAAGAGTTCATGTATTAGCATAAGTATCGGAAGGATGATTTTTAAAATTTCTGTCCAAATTCTGGTTTGGCTATTTTAATCTTCATGCTTAAATCGGTATGTCAACTATCATCAGTCTTTGGACTATTTTAATAGTGTAAGTCGTATATTTTCCTTTTCAGACATCCCTTGAATACAGTCTTATGTGGATTCTAGAGTCTGAAGATTCAGGTTTATTTTGAGCATCCTCACAGGACTTAGGAATGACATTCATTTTTCTCTTTTATATGTTTTCTTGGTGGAACACTTTGCCAAATGCCCTGGAACAGTTACTGTGGCCCTCGGGGCAGCACAGGCCCCGTGAAACTGCAGGACAGGCTGCCCTCGTCTCTCTCCTTTGGCATGTCTCCCTTTGGCCCTTCTCTTGCCTGGATTCCACGGAACAGCAGCTTGTTCCAAACCCCCGCTCTCCTGTGTTGCTCGCGGGCTGCCTGCTTACAGCCATTGGAATGTACAATTAATGCTGAAGCACATGTAGATAATGTGAGAACCCTCATAAAAGCACTAAACACAGCAAATAACATTTCAGGCTGGATTTCATCCCAAATGCCTGGCGTCTGAAGCAGGAAGGTGCAGAACCAGGAAGATGGCCTGGTAGCTGTGGAGGATTGGAGCTGCATGTGAAATATGTACACACAACCACCACGGTCGAATGCGGACATTCATCACGGCTGCAAGCAGAGTGCGTAAATATCACAGATTCAAAGCTAAAAAGGGTTGGGATAGAAAGATAAGCCTTTTAGGTTTAATGTAACAATGAAACGGTTCTTCTGGCCTAAGGATGGCAGACACATCCAGATTGCCTGGAAAGAGTGAAGCCTTCACGAAGCTGGGACCCGGGGTCTCGGATGGGACTTTAACCCAGGGAGCTGAGCTACCATCTTGACCTTGGCCTGGCCATTTACATCTCGAGGCATCAATTTCCTCTTTAAATAAAAATACTGACTTGTGTTGCCAAGTAGCTTCTACCAAGCGCCCTGGGACGATCTTTCCTGATGAATCAGAATCCACCAGGGAGTGTGTCCTGGTGGGGAGATGCTGTGGCTGCCTTTCTACCTAGCAAGTTCATCTTAAATACAGTAACAGCTGAGAGTTAAGTGCTCACTAGGGAGGCGGACTGAGGATTGGAAAGGGCCAGTCACTTGCCCAAGGTCACACAGCCACGCAGAGCCTGGGCTGGAACCTGTCTAGCCCTGATTCAAGGCTGCATGGGAGTTGCCTTCCTCCTTCAGCTTTCTGGAGGCTGCCATCACAGGAGGGTGGCTTGGTCAGGACCTGGAGCCCCCTCGAGGCGCTTCATCCTCTCCCTCCCTTCTTCAGGTTCTGAGGTTGAGATCAGAAGGTTAGAAAGAGCAGGAACAGTTTTATGTGCTCAGAGGAGAGGGCAGAGTTCCTCCAGGCGAATGCAAGCAGCTTGTTTTCCTAGAGATCCAGGGGACTTAAGAAAGCGCGAGGCAGTGCTAGGGGCTGATACATAAGAAATAGATGGCAGGCTTTCTTTTCCTTTTTTTGTACATTTATAAGCAGTGTGCAGAGCCAAGAGCTGATGATTTATTAATTGCATTTTCCAGATGGAGTGGCAGCCTGAGGGGCAGTTTTCTACCTAAAACAGACACCGAAAATGCAGACATGCTCAGGATCTAGTAACTGACTTCAATGTTTCCATCTTTGCAGCTGAGCTTGAAAAGACTGACAAGCTGGAGGCAATGGTTCCTTTTCTGAGAGGTTGGTTTTATATTATGGAGAAAATAGTTCTTTATGAACAATCTCCAGCCTCAAAACTTTAATTTTTACAGAATTCAGTCACAAAGCTGAATTACATTAACATCTTACTATTGCATTTATATTGCAGTTAATGTTTTTTTTTTTTGCAGGGAAAGATTTGCCCTGAGTTATCTGTTGCCAGTCTTCCTCTTTTTTTGCCTCCCCAAAGCCCTGGTACCTAGTTGTATATTCTAGTGGTAAGTCCTTCTAGTTCTTCGGTGTGAGCCACCACTGGCTACTGTCAGATGGGTGGTATGGTTCTCCTCCTGGGAACTGAACCCAGGCCACCAAAGTGGAGTGTGTTGAACTTAACTACTAGGCCATCAGGGCTGGCTCATGGTTAATTTTTAACAGAGCTCAGTGAGAGTGAGATGAGGATGGTATCCTTCATTTTGATAGAGAAATTGAAATTCTGCCTGATATTGGGGCCTTACATCCACAGAGGGCCATCTGTGTGCAGACAGATTTTTCTAACCTGTAAGTTGGACCAAATTTCAGCACCCTGTGTCTTTACACCCAAAGTAAATGGAGCTATTTTGCAAAGCTTATGTGTGTGTGTGTTTGTTTTGCATCCTTTCCAATCTCCTAATAAAGCTTCTGAACTCGAGAAAACAAAGTGCTGGCCTCCAAAGGTTGCTGGGAGGTGTCATTTCTGCTTGCTCAACATGAAGAAGGCTAACCCTCCAACACATCACATTGTGTGTTTCTGCTCATGGCATTAGGATGTTAGTCTGCAGCACAATATACACTCATTACCTCGTTTTCAGTTTTCGTGGTATGTATTGTAATAGCAGAAGGGGATTTGCTGATGACTAAGAAGGAAAACAGAGGGAGAAAAGTTCTTATTACATAAAATGATTCTTTGCTTGCATAAAGAGGATTCTCTGGGGCTTAACTGGGAAAATCCAGACAGGAGGTAAACGTCCTAGATGTTTACAGGTTAAACATTCTGTAAGTGGCTTGGAAACCAGCCCTTCCTGGCTTCTTGACATGGCCAACTGCTGGAGTGTCAAACTGTTGGAGCGACTCCGTTTTCCCTGGGCAGCGACACTCACGACAGACGATGCTCACCCTGGTCGGAGCATCGTGGTGGGACTTGGCCCAGCTTGCTGATGAGATATCAAAAATAGCTTTAACGTAATTATGTTTTGCACTTGTAATATTTCACAGGCAATAATACAGTAGAAAATTGCACTTTTTTTGGTCACCTGGTTATTTAAAACTTTTTTGTTTTTGATGGAGCTACGATGAAGCTGACGTATTTGGTGGGTGGTTGTTTCTTAAATGTGTGCTCCGTTCCAAATGCGTAAGTGCAGGCACTGGTCCAGCGTTTGATGGGGTTCGATGACTACGAGGAGGATGCGGGCGCTGTTCAGTGGGAGCCGTGAAAGGCAGCTTCTTAACCATAGTAGCCGAGAGCTGGGAAGTAATAAGAGCCTCCTTTGTGAGGGGCATCTTGTTGTAGTAGAAATTCTGCCTGCAGAGGCCAGAGATGTGGTCTCCAGCTCCCTGCCTCAACCGTCCTGTGTGACCTCAGGCAAGTCGTTGAAACTCTGAGCTACTGCTTCAAAGAACAGTGCTGATGGACTGATCTTTTGCAGACCATCCCAGGTGTAATATCTATGATTATAGAAAGAATTCAAAATTTTCAGTTTATTTATTTTTTTACTTTGCAAAACATCTTCAGGTTCATTTTTTTTAATTCTGAGGGTTTTTTTCACCACAGTGGTAAATTTTCTTTTTTCCAAGGGAGCATCATAGCCCTTTGAATCTTGGGGCTTGTGTGTTTTGTCAACGAAAATAATCCATAACCAATGTATAAATGAAAATTTGGGAGAGTTTATTCTGAGCTAAAATCTGAGGACCATGGCCCGGGGCCTTTCTTCCCGAAGGAAGAAAGGGCACCGAAGAAGTGGGGTGCACAGAGTGGTTATAGACCCCCAAACAGGATGTTTCACATATGATTGAAATGTCCCTTTTACAATAGTCGTGAGACTGCTCTGTTGGCACAGTGATTGATGGACACAGCAGGAAGGTCTTCTGTCTCAGTGAACACAGCAGGGTGGCAGGTCTGTTGTCTGGAGCTGGGTGGTCACAGGTGAGCTGGGTGATCAAAGGTGAGCACAGAAATCAGTTCCTAGCCTGAGGAAAGATGCTTATCCCTAAGGAAATGCCAATGTGGGGGGAAGTTGCACCTTTATCTCAAGGGCCTTTGTTCCTGCCATAGGAAATGTTTTAAAGCAGATATACAATGCATGCTCAATGGCCACAGTCAGGCCCTTTTGGAAAAACAAGGTCAGGCCGAATTAGGTTTACACCAAATGGCTTCCTCATATTCTCCAATATATCCTATTGCTTGCCATTTCTATTTTGTCAGTTTTCTTTGGACTGTTGAAATTTTGGGAAAGGCTTCTGGTGAAAAATGTTGCTGGTTTAATTTCACCAAAGAAACCGCCACGTTGACGTGGTGCAGTGTCTCCAGTGCTGCCACTTTCTTAAAGCACTCATGTCACAACTTCCTCCTCCGAGCTTCATTTGGCAAATCTTCATTGAGCAACTGTTACGCGCTGTGCTGGTTTCTGAGCATACAACAGCCTATTCACACAGGATGTTGTTAACTGCAGGAAACAGAGATCCACTCGTTCAAGCTAATCAAGGGAACCTCAGAGGGACCCGGGCAGGAAGTAGAGCTGGATGTTTTAGGGACTGGAACAAAGGGCTCGGAAGCTCTCAGGCCCCAGGAGCTTCTCTCTCCATCTTGCTCTCTCTTTCTCCCGAGGGCTACGTGTCTCTCATCATGCCGCCCGCGTCCTTCACCTTTGTCTTCTTCCCACGCTCACCTGCGTGCATGCAGGACCCGCTGCTCGCCCTTATGACGACAGGGCACACAGCCTGGCGAGTGGGGTTTCAGGGCTTGCTTGCCCCTTGCTTGGGTATCTGATGGCCCCTTGTACATGAGGGCCCTCCTTGCATGTGGCTTATCCTGGCAAACCCAAAATGGTGCCCTCAGCTCCCAGTTCCACGTGGCCTTCCAGCTAGCCTCCTCCACAGGGAAATGACCACGTCCCCATGAACCAAATTCCACTTCCTCAGAGAGAGAAGTTAGTTGGGCCAGGTGTCCATTCTTCATCCAATCCAATGTGTCTAGAGGGTTGAGAAGCAGACCCACGATAAATAGGGTTCTGGGAGGAGATGCTGTACATCTCTAGGAATTGCACCCCTGCCTGGGGCTTTCCTTAGAGGGGAGCACCGAATCAGATGCACCTGTGTGGACGCTACGTGTAACTGAGTCCTGGTCTGGCACCTAAATCGCTCGGATGCAATGGTTTTGGAAGAGCAAGACATTGCATGGAGACGGCGGTGGTGCTCCATCCAGTGTCAGAGAACTTCAGGGTCTGCTGTGAAAGGACTTCATTATATAGTGATAATGGGTCAACTCTTCCCACATTCTGATCCTATAATCTCATTTGAGACTGTGACTCCTGCCTTGGGCATGTGATGCTGTCCCCTTTCCATATACAGCAGTTCTCACCCATCACCCAGCCACAGGAAGCAGGGACACAAGTCATAGGGGAAAGACTTTGTGTTTGTTGAGGTGCAACTCTCAAAAATCTCTACACTGCACCCCAGTATCCTGTAAATGTGGGAGAAGCTCCTGTGAAAGTTGCAGGCATTCATCAGCATATCCTTCACCGCTACCACATGCAAGGTTTTAGATGATGATCTTTTCTTTTTTTCTTTGCTGAGGAAGATTCACCCGGAGCAAACATCTGTGCCAATCTTCCTCTCTTTTGTATGTGGGTTGCCGCCACAGCATGGCTACCAACAAGTGGTGTAGGTCCGTGCCTGGGAACAAAACCCGGGCCACTGAAGCAGAGCATGCTGAACTTAACCCACTAGGCCAGGGGCCCGGCACCATACATGGTGGTCTTTTTAAAGCTGCTGGAAAGTAACTGGGAAGATTCACCTAGGAAGTGTTATTTCATTAAACTGTGAGTTGTGTCAGAGCATTTTGCAAGGTATCTGATATTTTTATCTAGAAAAGAAATTTAAAAAAAGGATCAAGAAATGGTTGATTCATATAGATTTTGCCCCATAGAGAAGTGGGCCTGGCCAAGATGGCTCAGGGAGTTCATGCTTTGGCCCAATATCTCTGCTCCAAATACAGAGTAGCAAGAGATAAATTATTAACATTGAAAACCGAGAAGGTATAAAAGGCCTGGCTCAGAAATAAGATAATGCTATAGACAAGAAATGCTGCATGAAGGGGACTGAGCTGTTAGACTTGCTGACTCTGGGTCTGGAAGTCAATGGGATGGTTAGGAGGTCCACCTCTGAGGTGAGAAAGATTCACGGTACTCACTGGCCCCTCTTGCTGCTGCTGAGAGTGGGAGCCGGGATGTGGCTCCCTTGTTGTGGAAGGGCTGACAGTGCTGACCGCTGCCTGGAGCCACGGCAGCGTCTCACCTCGGCACTGTCAACACTGTGGCAGATGGTCCTCTGTGTGGGCTGCTCTGAGCATTGTAGGACGTTCAGCCACATCCCTGGCCTTTACCCACCAGATGCTAGTAACAGCTGACACCTCCCTCCAGTTGTGACAACCAACAATGTCTCCAGACATTGCCTGGTGCCTCCTGGTTGAGAACCTGTGATAGAGGTTGGAGAACACAGAGCCTCCTGAGGAGGAATTTAACCAGCTTGCCCACTGCCTCGTGACTAGACCTGTTTTCACAATAATACATGGGACAGCAGCCCTGAAATACCGTGAAAAGATCTGACTTGGGGGAGCCTGCATGGAGGTAATTGCCAAGCTGTCAGACACAGGAAGTTGAGCAAGCAATGAAAGGCAAAACAAACTAATAAATGGAAGAAGAACCAATTAGATTCTTGGAAATAAAAATTATAGCCACTGAACCGAAAAAGTAACAGGATAAACTCTAGATTATATGCAGTTGAAGGAAGAATTAGTGAGTTGGAAGATGGCACTGAGGAAATAATTTAGAATGTGTCACTAACAGGAAGGGTATTTTAATAGAATGAAACGTAAAATAAAACAAAGTTAAGAGACATGGAGGATAGATAAACGACTACAACATGGGAAATAGTAGAGAAACAGTATCTGACAGGAAATTGAAGGAAGACATGAGCTCCTCAGGTTCCAAGTCAATGCCACATTCCAAGCAGTGACTATAGAGAATAATTCACAGCTAGCACATCATAGTAAAACTGTGATGCACGAGTGCAATTTCTTAGCAATTGTTAGGCCAGCAGACACTGAAGCAATATGTCCAAAGTGTTGAGGGACAGTAACCATCAACCTAGAATTTTTCTACCCAGCAAAACTATCATTCTAGAGAGGGGTCTGCACACTTCTCCTGAAAGGGCCAGATAGTAAATATTTTAGGCTTTGGGCCCTCTGGTCATTTTCACATGCTAACATCTGTGTCTCATTTGGGAGGAAGATAGAATTACTGAGTAATTCAAGACTGTGTTGTACATACACAATTAAGTGGGTAGGTCAAAATATTAAGGATAACCATTAGAAGAATAGAAATACAATCTATAGCTTTTAAACCAACAGAATAAACAAGCATTATTATAAGAAACTTTGTCAAGCTAAAAGAAGGCAGAAAAAGAAAGGAAATAAGAAGCCAAGAAAATGGATTAGCCAACAGAGAAAACCAAATAGGAAGGCAGGAACAATTCAGTAATTGCAAGAAATGTACCTAACCCATTAAATGACAAAGGTGATCAGATTGGATCAAAACAAAATGAAAAATAAAACACTACAAGGTACAGCTAGATTTTGGCCCAAAATTTTAGAGGACTGTCTATCATAAATTGCATTAGAAGGGAAGGACTATCAGATTATTCCTCCACTCTAGCTAACGTCCAGCTCCTACAAAAGGCTTCATATCGTGTGGTTAGATAAATCCATCTAGTCCTTTCCCTGAACTGATAGCTCAAATGTGAGAGAACTGGACTAGGAGACACCTAAGGTCTTTTTAGCTCCAAAGTGCCAAGACTTAGTGCTTTCCTGGGTGTGACATCGTCGTGGGCAGAGCCCTGTGCTGGCGTTCTGGAGCCCTGAGGAAGCAGTGGAGCCTACTGTCCACCTGATGGACGCTGGCCTTGTCATTGGGCCATTGAACGTCTGGACTGTGGTCTCAGTTGCCACGCTGTCCGCGGCCTACGTGGAGGAACCTTTTGCAGACGGACAGATGCTTGTCTGCTCGTAGGCAGCATGGAGACTGACCTGTAAGGCAGGAGAGGGACTTTTCACTCCTAATACATTGTGAAAGTTTGATCAGAGTGGGGACTTTCTGTCATGGGTGATTAGTATCAGCTCAGATTAATATTCACTTTCCCTAATTCAGTATGAAAAGTGCCAACATTAGAACACTTTTCTTTGAGATGGAGAGACAATGCAGAATGATGCCGCTCACGAGGTCCAGTGTCTCCTTTCTGAAAGATGAGAGGTTTCCTCCACCCCACTGTTGAGTCTTTTCCAGAAAAGCTTAGCCTCCTTTTTTAATGATAGATTTTTTCCAGCTTTATTGAGATGTAATTGACATACAACAGTGTGTAACTTTAAGGTGTTCAACGTGATGATTTGATACAAGTACATATTGCTAACTGATCACCACAATAAGGTTAGTTAACAAGGGCATCACCACACACAGTTACAATTTTTTTTGTGGGGAGAACTTTTAAGACCTACACTCTCAGCAACTTTCAAATATACAATATTGTAAAGTATAGTCACTGTGCTGTACAGCATATCTCCAGAACTTATTCATCTGATATCTGGAAGTTTGTACCTTTGACCACCTTCCTTCTACCCACCTCCCCTGGCAACCGTCAATCTGCTTTGTTTCCATGAGTCCAGTTTTTTAGATTCCACATATAAGTGAGATGATACAGGATTTGTCTTTCTCTGTCTGACTTAGCACAATGCTTTCAAGTTCCATCCATGTTGTTGCAAATGACAAGATTTCCTTCATTTTTATGGCTGAATACTATTTCATTGTGTGTATATATTGCACATTTTCTTTATCCACTTATCCCTCAATGGACATTTAGGTTGTTCCCATAGCTTGGCTATTGTGAACAATGCTGCAAGGTACAGGGAGTTCATATATCTTTTCAAGTTAAGAGTTTCCATTTTCTTCAGATAAATACCCAGAAGTGGAATTGCTGGATCATATGGTAGTTCCATTAAAAATTTTTGAGAAGCCTCCATACTTCTTTCCATAGTGGCTGCACCAATTTACAATCCCATCATTAGTGCACAAGGGTTCCCTTTTCTCTACATCCTCGCCAACACTTGTTAACTCTTATCTTTTTGATGGTAGCCATTCTAAGAAGTGTGAGGTGATAGCTCATTGTGGTTTTGATTTACATTTCCCTGACGATGATGTTGAACATCTTTTCATGTACCTGTTGGCCATTCATATGTCTTCTTTGGAAAAATGTCTATTCAGATCCTCTGCCCACTTTTTAATTGAGTTTTTTTTTTTTTGCTATTGAGTTGTTTGAGTTTTTTATATATTTTACATACTAACTCCTTGTTAGATATGTGGTTTGCAAATACTTTCTCCCATTCCACATGCCTTTTTATTTTGTTGATTGTTTCTTTTGCTGTGCAGAAACTTTTTATTTTGATATAGTCCCACTTGTTTATTTTTGCTTTTGTTGCTTGTGATTTAGGTGTCATATCTATGAAATCATTGCCAAGACCAGTGTCAAGGAACTTTTTCCCTGTTTTCTTCCAGTTTTATGGTTTCAGGTCTTACATTTAAGTCTGTAATGCATTTTGCATTAATTTTTGTGTATGGTGTAAGATAGGGGTCCAGTTTCATTCTTTTGTATGTAAATATCCAATTTTCCCAACACCCTTTATTGAACAGACTCTCTTTTCCCCATTGAATATTCTTGGCTCCTTGTCAATATTAGTTGGAAAATGCATGGATTTATTTCGGGCTCTTGATTCTGTTCCATTGATCTATGTGCCTGTTTTTATGCCAATATCATACTGGATTCCATTGAATCTATAGATGGCTTTGGGTAGTATTGACATCATAACAATACTAACTCTTCCAATAAATAAACATAGGATATTTTTCTATTTATCTGTGTCTTCCTATATTTCTTTCATCAATGTTTTAGTGTATGGATCTTTCACCTCCTTTGTTAGATTTATCCCTAAGTATTTTACTGTTTTTGCTGCCATAGTAAATGAAATTGCTCTCATTACGTTTTTTTTTTCCTGGTAGGTCATTGTTAGTATATAGAAACACAACTGATTTCTGTGTGTTGATTTTTGTATCTTGCAACTTTACAGAATTTGTTTATTAGTTCTAATTTATGTTGTTAATCTTTTCTGTTTTTTTTCCTATTCTCTGTTTCATTTATTTCTGCTCTAATCTTTATTATTTCCTTCTTCCTGCTAACTTTCAGCTTAGTTTGAAAGTTCCTGGAGGTATAAATTTACCTTGTTTATTTGAGATCCTCCTTTTAAACTTCCCTCTTAGAATTGCTTTTGCTGCATCCAATAAATTTTGATATGTTGTGTTTTCATTTTCATTTGTTTCCAGATATTTTTAAATTTCCTCTTTAATTTCCTTTTTGATCCATTAATTGTTCAGGAGCATGTTGTTTAATTTCCATGTATTTGTGAATTTTCTCACTTTCCTCCTGTTATTGACTTCTAGTTTCACACCATTTCATACTATATTTGTGGTCATAAAAAGACATTTGATATAGTTTTTATCTTCTTAAGTTTGTTGAGACTTGTTTTGTGGCCTAATATATGATCTGTCCTAGAAAATGTTCCATGCATGCTTGAGAAGAATGTGTATTCAGCTGCCATTAGATGGAACATTCTGTATATGTTGTTAGATCCATTTGGTCTACAATGTTGTTGAAATCTGCTGTTTCCTTGTGGATTCTCTGTGTGGACGATGAATCCATTGTTGAGAGTGGGCTATTCAAGTCCTCAACTATTATCATATTGCTGTTTATCTCTCCTTTTAGTTCTGCTAGTATTTGCTTTATATATTTAGGTGCTCTGATGTTGGGTGCATAAATATTTACAATTGTTATATACTCTTGACAGATAGATAGATAGATTCACCATTTTTAGCTTAAAGTCCATTTCATCTGACTAAAGTACAGCTCCCCCTGCTTTCTTTTGGTCACCGTTTGCTTGAACTCTCTCTTTCCACCCCTTCACTCTCAGTTTGTGTGTTTCCTTAAAGCTAAAGTGAGTCTCTTGTGGGCAGCGTATCATTGGGTCTTTTGTGCTTTTTTACCCAGTCAGCCATTTCATGTTTTTGATTAGAGAATTTAATCCAGTTACCTTTAAAGTAATTATCGATAGGCAAGAACATACTATTGCCATTTTGTTAGTTGTTTTCTGACTGCTTTGTAGGTCTTTTGTTCCTTGCTTTCTCTCTTCCTGTCTTCCTTTGTGATTTTATGCTTGTTTTGTGGTAGTATGCTTTGATCTCTTTGTCATAATGGGGCTTACATAAATTATATTTATAACATCCTATTTTAAGCTGATAACAACTTAACTTCAATAGCATACAGAAACTTTGTACTTTTACTTCTTCCTTCCTCATATTTTAGGTTATTGATGTTACATTTACATCTTTTTTATACTGTGTATCCAATAACAATTTATTGTAGTTGTTGTTTTTAATATGTTTAATATGGTTTTTAAAATACATTTGTTTTCTTAACTTTTAAAGAATAATTGTAAATAAATGATGCACCACCATTATGATATTAGAGAATCTGACTTTTGACTATATATTTACTATTACCAATGAGTTTTACACAGTCATATGTGTTATGATGTTAATTAGCATCCTTTTACTTCAGCTTGAAGAACACTCATTAGTGTTTCTTGTAAGGCAGGCCTAGTAGTGATGAAGTCCCTCAGCTTTTGTTTGTTCAGAAAAGTCCTTATCCCTCCTTCATTTCTGAAGGACAACTTTGCTGTGTATAGTATTCTTGATTGATGGCTTTTAGTATTTTGAATATGTCATCCCACTTTCTCCTGGTCTGCAGAGTTCCTGTTGAGACAACTGTCATAGTCTAATGGGGGCTCCTTTATATGTCATGAGTTGCTCTTCACTCACTGTTTTCAAAATTCTCTCCTTGTCTTTGACTTTTGGCAATTTAATTATAACAGGTCTCTGTGTAGCTCTTTTTGAGTTTAACCTATTTGGTGTTGCTTAGGCCTCACGAATCTGGATGTCCATTTCTCTTCCCAAGTTTTGGAAGTTTTCAGCCATTATTGCTTTGAATATACTTTCTGTTTCTTTTTCATTCTCCCCCTCTGCAACTCCCATATTGTTTCATTTGATGCTGTCCTGTAAATCCTATAGACTTTCTTCATTCTTTTTCATTCTTTTGTCTCTTTGCTCCTCTCAGTGGATAATTTCACATGGCCTATCTTCTGGTTTGCTGATTCTTTCTTCTGCTTGATCAAGTTTGATGTTGAGTCTCTCTATCATATTCTTCAGTTTAGTCATTGTTTTCTTCAGCTCTAGAATTTCTGTGGGGTTTTTTTTTTTTGTGGTTTCTATTTCTTTGTTGAACTTTTTGTTCATGCATTGCTTTCCTAATTTTGTTTGTCTGTCCGTCTACGTTCTTCTAGTTCACTGAATTCAAGAGATTATTCTGAATTCTTTGTCAGATAGTTCATAGTTCTCCATTTCTTTAGGGTCTGTTTTTGGAGCTCTAGTAGTTTCCTTTGGAGGTGTAAAGTTTACCTGATTTTTCATTTTCTTTGATTCCTGGCATTGGTTTCTGCACATTTGCTTAAGGGATCTCCTCTTGCAGACTTTCAAGGTTCTCTTCATCAGGGAAAGACCTTCACCAGTCAGCTCAGCTTGGTGTGCTGGATGGCTCAGCTGGTAGCACCCATGAGCAGGCAGGGCTTGCTATCCGGGTCTCTAGTTGGGTGAGGCCACTGTCTGTGCTCTGAAGTCAGAGGAGGGTGCCACTGGGTGGGCTCTGCACTTGGGTGGTGGTCTGCTGGCTGGGCTCTGCTTTCAACCAGGGCTTTTGGGTGGTCTCCCTGATTGGGTGGGGCTGATGACTGTGCTTCACAGTCAGGTAGGGCCACTAGCAAGGCTTTGCAATCACCTCTGGTTGGGTCAGTTCTCAGGCTGTGTTCCCAGCCAGGATGGTGTCACTGGTTGGACCCCAAGATTGAGCAAGGCTGTGGGCCGAGCTCCACAATCTCTCCTGGTCAGATGGGGTCTCAGGCTGTACTTCCTGCCTGGGTGGTGCTGCTGGCTGGACTTCATGTGTCCATGGGGCCACAGGCAGGGCTTTGTGGGTGAGCGCATTCTCAGGCTATGTTCTGTGATGAAGCAGGGCTGTGGGCTATGCCCCGAAGTTGGATGGGGCTGCTGGCTGTGCTCCACTATTGGGCAAGATTTCTGGCAAGGCTCTCTGGTCAGATGGGGTTTCCAGCTGTATCCTGTGGTTAAATGGGGCTAGAGACTGTTCTCCACAATTGGGCAGGGTCACCAGCTGGGCTCTCTGCTTGAGTGTGGCCACAGTCTATCTTCAGCAATTGGGCCAGGCTGTAGGCTGGCTCTAAGGCTGTCCAGGGTCACCGTTCAGGCTGCCTGGTTATGTGGGGCCAGAGGCTGTACTTAACAGTTCAGCAGGGCTTCTGGCTTGGTTCCCTGCACAAACGGGGCTGTAGGATTGCTCTGCAGCTGTCCAGCCTCTCTGGCCAGGCTTCCTGGTGGGACCAGACTGGAGGCTGTGCTCAGCACTTAGACGGGGCTGGGAATTTTCTTCCCTGCGTGGGTGGGGCTGGAGAATGGGCTCCACAGTCAGTGTGGCTCCTTGGCTGAGGTCCCAAATCAGGCAGAACTGCCGCCTGAGTTTTCTAGCCAGATGGGGCCACTGGTTTGGCTCTGTAGACGGGCTGAGCCAGTGGCTGGGATCTGTGCTCGGGCACCCCTGCAAGCCGGAAAGCAGTCCGCGAGATCTGAGCGCTGTTGCTGTAGGCCCCGCCCACCTCCTCCATCTCTGTCTGATCCCCAGTGGTCAAGCCTGCAGACTTCCCTCATGGTCCCTGCGAGGTCAGACCTGCATGGGCTTCCTGGGAAGTGTCTCCCAGTGCTGGGGGAGTTGGATGTCCACCTTGGGTCCTCTTTTTCCCACTGGAGAAACTGCAGGCTCAGGGAGGCCTCTCAGTGCTGTGCTGCACCTTCTAACGAGGTCTCTGTGTGCAGGGGGTGCTCCAGTCTCACCGCCTGGTTCTGGGACTTTCAAGCTGTGTCTTGTCTGTGGATAGTTGGTCTTCTTCTAAGGAGGACTGAAGTCGGAGACCACCTATGTCACCATCTTGCTGAACATCACTCCTTTCCAGCCTTTTTCCCTACCCTTGTAAAGCTTCCTGAAGTGGTTGAGGTATCCACCCCAAATCACAGAGGCCTGGAGGAGTTCCTCCACATTTCCGTTCACAAATAAATAATAATTATGTATTAATATTGATATAGAACCATCATATATTGAGTACTTACTGTGTGCGAGGCACTGGGCTAAATTATTTACAGCTATTGACTCATTGAATTCCCTCCAACACCCCTATTATCCCATTTATGAATGTGGAAACTGAGGCACAGAGGTGTGGCACACAGCAAGCAGCAGTGCCGGACCCCAGCTCCGCAGCTGGGACTGGGCCTCAGCCCTGTGGAGCACTCTTGCCCCCGCTGTGCAGGAGGAGACTGCAATCTTTCTTAAGGATCTTGTAGGTTCTAGACCAGGATTTCTCAACCTTGGCACTCTTGACATTTTGAGCCAGGTATTCTTTGCTGTGAGGGCTGTCCTGTGCCTTATAGGATGTTTAGCAGCATCTCTGGCCTCTCCGCACTAGCTGCCAGAAGCCCCTCACCGCCCTGACCCACCTAGGTTGTGAGAACCAAAACTGTCTCCAGAAATTACCAGTGTCCCTGGGGGGCAGAGTGTTCCCTGGTTAAGAGCCACTGCACCGGACCAAGCTCTTCCACCCTCTGCTGGAGTCTCCCAGCCTGAAGCAAGTCCCGCTCCCTTCCTGCCTCTCAACACTTGATGGGGGCTGCGGTTCGCAGAGATGGGAGTAACTCTGAGTTCTGTTTGAGCTGAGCATGGGTTTCCCAAGTCCTGAGCTTTTGCTATGATAAGGCACCCGGCTCCCACCAGCCCAGTGAGAATGCAGGACTCCCTCACATCTCCTGGCCGTTCCGCATCGTTGTCTGCCCAGCTCCTCCTCCCTGGGACCACATGACATGCCCATAGTCAGCTGTGTGTCTGGCCATAGCTGAGGGCCCAGGGTGGATGTCTTAATCCAATGGGGCCATCAGTTCCGTCTCCCGACAGGTTGGCAGAGGGACCCGGGTGAGTCTTCCTGGTGGCTGGAGCTGTGACCTGCAAACCCAGCAGCTCTGGTGGCCGTCGTCCTGCCCTGTACCGTAACTGGTGTGGAGCGGTGGTTCTTAGAGTCAGTGCCCAGACCAGCAGCAGCGCCGGAGAACTGGCGAGAAATGCAGATTCTCAGGCCCCACCGCAGACCCGTGGATCTGGAAACTCTGGAGGGGAGACCAGCAGTCTGCACTTAGCAGGTCCTCCAGGTGATGCTGACACCACCAAGCTGCTCCAGAGGGTGGGAGAGACGAGGGAATGGGACCCAGGGGAGAGAGAGGGGACCCTGTGGACAGGACAACTTCCAGGCCTCAGTTCCTTCCTTCCCGATGCCCTGCCATGTTCCTGCCCTCGGCTTTGGTGAGATATTTCTGAGTCCTAAAAACAAAATACACCTGGACCTGGTTTTTCCCCTTAAGTTGATTGAAGTCGGTTTCTTTTGCTTGCAACTAAAAAATTCGTACTCATTCGCCTGAAATATGACTATATTAACACATGTGGAGAGGAAATTATATGGAGCAGCATCACCCCAGCTGCTCAGGAAAAGACTGGAATTTTATCAAGGGCTCTTGGAGATATGTAAAAGCTCCACAGAAAATAACCCATGGTTTTTTCTTGTTGTCAAGAGTGAGAATTTGTGTGTATGTGTGTGCGCACACGCATGTCTACCTGAAGAAGCTGACCTGCTGGACAAAACACCTTTTTTCCCTTTTCTCTCTTTGTGTTTTTTATTCTTCAGTGCTAAAGGCTTGGTGTTTTCTTGACTTTTCTCTCACTTGTTTATCCTCAGTTACCCAGAGTTAAGGTAAATCTCAGTCACTGACAAGTATTTACCGAGAGCCTGCAGCGTGTCAGGTGTTCAGAGGGCCCGTCACTCATGGTTCCCTGGTGGTCTCCCCTCAGAGAACTTGGGTTTTGTAGGAGAGAATGCAAGGATCTTACTGTTGTGTGTCACAATGCCGTGCAGCAAGTCTGGAATTAGTTTGTGTACAAGGTTCAGAGGAAACCTGGAAGAAAGAGTGTGGAGGCTTCAGGGTGGGGCAGTTCTGGGAAAAGGGGACAAGGGGTGGTGGTCAGGGAAGGCTTCCTGGAAGAAGTCTCACCTGAGGGAGACTTGGGAATATGATAGGTACCCACCAGGCGAAGAGGCAAGGAGAGAGAGAACTCAATTCGTGGTTTGAAAGCATCCCAAGGGAAGAGATTTATGTTTTAATGCTCACCCGTTCTCGACTCTGACTGACTTGGCGGACTATGGTATTATATAGACATTGAACATATGGTAGAGACTTCTAATTTCTCAAAGCTCTAGAAACTGTCTGTTACAGCACTGGCAGCTCCCCTTCCCGGACGTGCTTTATTAGCTGGACCTTCAACATGATGTGCCGGAACATTGCCAGCCTTTTAAAGTCGTCCTTGGGAGGGGAATAGACTGTATGTTGGTTTATCCTCGACCAGGAGAAAAATAAAAAGTATGGAGGAGAAAAATTCCCTATTAAGTTTTATAATTATAATATGAAAATCCAGTTAATTTCTTTTATCGTGGCAAGTCATTAAAGACTGAAGTTGGTCCCAGGCTTTTGTTTCCGGAACAATCCCCAGAGGCTTGGCGCCCGTCATCAAATGGGCCTGATTGGAGTGGGGACCTCTGTCTTCAGTTACTGCTCTCTGTCATTAGCGTTACGTTATCTTGCTCTTCAGACTGATTTTTAATTGTTATGCTTGCAATTATAAATGATTTACAGGGACATTCATCACCCGACCTGTCCCGAGCCATTAAATTCACCCAGGTTGAGTGGCCGAGGTGCGCCTGAAATGAGACAGGTCGGTGGCATCGTCTGCGGGATTCTTCAGAGGCCCCACGGAAGAGAAGAGACTCCCTTCTCCCTGTCCGCTCTGTGGCTTAATGGGAAAATATTCTTAAGTGATCAGGAGGTAATTAGCCGCGACGATGAGGTGCACACTTGTTGTGCAGTATATCTCGCAGAGTTAGTCCAGCCGTGGCTTCTGGAATAGACAGGAAGATGACCCCGCACAAACCAAGCTACGGCCGTGGGGGCTCACTTGAGCGTGTTTACCTCCTTCAGTCAAGTCCAGCAAAAGAACTGTGCTTACTTTTCCTGGGCACCTACTATGCACTAGAAACATTCTGTTTTGTGTTGTTTTGATGGAAGGAAAGGGTGCTTCCTCGGGCTGGCTCAGACGAAGGAGGCAGGTTGGAGGAACCGAAGGAGGCTCCTCCAGGCTCCTGCCCTGCCGTCCGGGAGCCATGCCATGGTCTTCACTCTGCTCCCCTCTTCCTCACAGCACCCATTCACCTCAGAGCTCTTTTTCTTGACTGGCTTCCTCTGCTGGTCTGTTTTGTGCTTGGGCCCAAGTGGCCATCCCACGCCATTTGCCCAGGCCTTTCTCCTCAACCACCCACCACTGGCCTGGCGACAGGCTCTCCCCTTCTTGGTTACGTTCTCTGTGGAACTTCAGTGGTTCCTTATCAGCTGGCAGCTTTTCTGCCGTTGGGTTGGGAATATGTCCCTTGTCTGCTATGCCAGAAGGGACAGGATTTGTGGGCTCACCAAGTAAAGCGGGGGTGGTCATATCTGTTTGGTGCAGCTTTAAAACGGGGTGGGCCCTCCCATTCTCCAGATGAGGAAACTGAGGCTAATGGAGGTGGAGGTGTTTGTCAGAGGTCACACGGCTGGTAGGTGTAAGAGCAGGACTGCAGGATAAGGCGCTGGCTCCATTCCCCTGCTCCCGCTTGATGTGCTGTCTGCAATGTTGGTGCTGTTGCTTACACAAGAGCCAGGCTGAGTGCTAGTTGATTTGGTTGGGAGCCCAGTGACCACCTGGGCAGTGTAGACAACACCACCTTGCTCCATTCTCTTACTGCTTTCAGTGTCTGTTTAGGGACATTGAAATGGCACATCCCACTGTCCAAAAATCAGAGTGAAAGAGCAGATATTCTTGTCACATCTTCAGCTTTGGAAATGCCCCGAAGAAAATCTGGTTGAAGGGCCATCAGAGACATTTGTAGGGCTTGACAGTGAAGGCTGGAATGAGAGGGGACCAGAAATTAGCACTTTCCTCCTTATTGGAGGATGTGGACCCGCGCCTCTACTTACCGGCTTTGATACTGGCAGCTGGATGACTTCGTGCAGATTGCTTGACCTCTGACCCTCTGTTTCCTCATCTGCAAAATGAAGATGATATCATTACAAAAGTCAGATGAGGTGCTGTGAGAAGAGCAGCCCCTCACACAGCAGTCATCCAACAACTGTTAACCCCTCACTCTCTCCCTGTCTTGTCAAGACACCAAGGGTCTGACCTCTGAGCAATGGTAGCCTTAATGTTAGCATTTGCTCTGGGTCTGAGAACCCCCTGGAAAGTTCTGCTAGTCAAGGGACTTTGTCTTTTATTGATCCAGCATCCTTTCCCTGCTCTGGTAACAGCACCCCTTACACGGTGGGCAGTGACTTTCCTCCATGTCGGCTGGGAGGATGCCAGTCCAGCATCGCCCCAGGCCTGCGCAGTCCTAGCACTGCCTGGACTGACTGGACAGAGACGGGCCCAGGACTGAAGGTGGGCCAGAGAGGATTTCCACTCAGGCGCTGGCTGGGGGACCTCGCTCCCTTCTGGGGGACTGTTGAACTGGGATGCTGCGGCCCTGAGTTGTCTCAGTTGTGTCTTGTACTTGCTGCAGGAGCAAAGAGAAACAGATTAGAGGGAAAGGAGGACTGAGCTAATTCTTGAGACCATTGCTCCAATCCTGAGGGTCCCGAGGCCACTCTTAAACTTCCTAGTGACAGGAGCCAATGAATTCCCCTTTTCCGCTTAAGCCTATGAGTGATTTTCTATCATGTGCAGCTGGCAAGAGCCCTGAGGAAAGCAGAGACTCAGTTTCCCTAGTCAGGTGCTGGGGTGGGGACTGGTTCTGCTCCAGTGGTAACCTCTCCCAGCCACAGCCGTTCGTCTAGCGGAGGCCACGAGGCCCCTTGGAGAAGTGATTCCACCGCAGTGATGTTCCGTTCTCTCTCACTCTTCCAGGAAGCGGGCAGGAACCCTGAGGCCTGCTGGTGCTCTTGTCCTTCCTCACGTCCCACACTGTAACACCAACACGTACGCAGCGTGCCCTGCGGTCCACTAGCACCATGCCCAGCCGTGGCCTGGCACGTCCTTCTACTCTCCGACTGGATACCACTTGAAAAGCACGCTCCATTTCCCATCACAAAACCACACTTGGATTATAGCTCCTTGCACTCGCAACTTCTTCAGCACTGCAGGCCGTCGCCGATGGGATGAGATGTGCTTCCTGCAGCAGCCCTGATGCAGGAAGTCCCCACTCCCACCTCTGTGTCCAAACGTGCGTTCTCAGCCACATCTAAAGTTGGTACCTTCGCGTGTGCCCCAGCGCGGCCTCCCCCTTCTCTCCGCATAGCCTGCCTGGCCTTCACCCAGTACCAGCTCATCTGGAACTCCTCCAAGCCTCCTCTAGCCCATCTCCAAACTGAGCCTCGCTCACAACCTCTCTGTTCTTCTGAACCAAATGCACAGCCTCAAGGGACAGAGGCTTTGGAGTCAAACAGGCTTATGTTTGGATTTCAGTGCCATCGATCACTGGCTCTGTTACCCTGGACAAGCTCCAGCTTTCTCCTCTACAAAGTGGAGATGTACCAGGTTCCCAGACAAGGGTCTGAGTGAACTCATCTATTGGGGAGGGGATCCTAGGACAGGCCCTCAGAGGAGCAGGAGCAGGGGGACAGGGAAGTGAGGAAGCCAGTGCGGAGCGTGCTCCTGAGGAGGGCACTGCTGTGGGCACTGGGGCTGCCTCCCACTGTGTTCTCTCTGAGGTGGCATGGGACACGCTCGAGTTGTCCACCTGAGGGTAAGGAAGCGAGGAGAGTTGTCCTCTGACTCCTGTCTGTCCTTGGCTGACGTCTGTTAATCCTGGCATTTCCATGTACACCAAGCTCAAGCTGAGAGAAGGCCCCGGAAGGAGAGTTTCAGTAGATGCCATTGGCTCATTTGGAAACAGTGGATGCTGAGCAGACGTGGGCAGGGCCCTGAGCATCCACCACGTTCCCTGAGTGCAGGTCTGCACTCTGCTCATGCTCCGAGTGCTACGTGTGAGGTCTCTCGAACTTCGTGACTCCAGCACCCGGCTGTGGACCCGTAACTAACTCCCAAATCTCTCTCCCCAACCAAGCCCTCTTCCTTGGTTCCAGGACTCTACTTCCCGCTGCACACTGAGCTTCTCCACCTGGTGTTCCACAGGCATCTTGAAAGAAACACTTGTCACCCTTATCTTCCTTCCCCAGCCCAAACCAGACACTCCTTCTATAGTCTCATTCTTGGTGGATGACATAGCCATCTTTTCATTGTCCTGATCTAGAAATTTCAGAGTCAGCTTTTGGCAACAGGCCCATGATTAGTCTTCTGCCACCAAATTCTCCTTCTCCAACCCACCCTATGTTTAGTTGCTAGAACTGTTTTTATACAATCTGTTCATACCACTTTCCTTTAAAAATTGTCTATTATCTGTGGAAGACACCTTTTGAGGTATCTGTCTTGCCCCTGTTCACCCCTGTAACCTGTGTGCACAGCAGTGGGCCTGCAGCAGCCACCTCCTCCCTGAGACTGTCCCCTCCCCCACCGTCACAGTCAAGTGGACGAGCTGCACCAGTCAGACTCCCCCCAGATTTCAAATTGGAGCTGAAGTTCTCGAATAGAGAGGAAGCGTAACTTAAGCTGGGGATGAGAATATTTCTTTTGCCATACAGACTGAAAAGACAAAAAACTGGTCTGCAGAGAAAGAAGGAAGAAGCTGTGACGGCTATGTTGGGAAATCGCCCTCCTCTCATTCTTAGCCCATGTGGTCCAGGTGGGGCCGGTGCCACCAGAACTTTGCTCCCCTGGCTATAGCCGTTGGTTCAGGGTTGGACACATGACCCAGGCTTGGCCAATCAGAGTGCTCTGCTTCCTGGCTTCAGTGATTGTTTCAGGAGTGCCAGGACAGTCAGCCATCCCCTGAACTTCAGCTGGAGCTTTCAGACAAGAGCCTGTCTTTTGGCTGCCATGCTTAGCTCTGCAGATGATTTAAAGATGAGAGTGGCCCTCTTTGCCTCACACGTTCTTGAAAATGAAGCCAACACAGAAGAAAATAGAGTCAAATGGAGAGCGACAGGGTCCTGATGGTGTCCTTCAACCCCTGTGTCTACCTGTGCCGGAAGTTGTCTTTAATCTTAGAATTCTCACTTTCTTTTTTTGTTAACATTTCCATAACAAGATTTGCCATTTCAATCATTTTTAAGTTTTCAGTTTTGTGGCATTAAGTACATTCACATTGTTGTGCAACCATCACCATCTCCAGAACTTTCTCATCTTCCCAAACTGAAACCATTAAACAGCAACCCCTCCTCCCCACACCCAGCCCCTGGCACCACCATTCTGCCTTCCATCTCTATGAATTTGACCGCTCTAGGGGCCCCATAGAAGTGGAACCAAACAATCTTTGTCCTTTTGTGAGTGACTTATTTCACATGGCAAACATCTTCAAGATTCGTTTATGTTGTAACGTGTGTCTAGACTTCCCACTTTTGAGAGCCAATATATTCCCTATTTGGCTTGAACTATTTTGAGTAATGTTTCTGTCATGTATGACCAAAAGAATCCTGGTAAACATAAAATAGATTGGAAAGAAAAAAAACCTGGACAAAGGCAGAGGGCAGTTCTTCTCACTTTCCTCTCCCAGTTCCAGGCCTGATTGGGTGGAGCCCTCGCAGTCTCTAAAGAAGAGAACCGTCTCCCTCTCAAGCTGATTCATTTCTGTTAAGATGAAAGGGTTGTAACCAGCACTCCCCTCCTTCCCTCCAGGATAAAGCCTGAACTTCTCCAGCGTGGGGCAACGGGCCTCTGTCTTCAGGTCCTGGACTCACCTTGGATCCTAGTCTTAGTCCTCACTGAGGATCTCCCCATTTACCAGTAATCCAGCTTTCTTGTGCCTCTCTGCCTTGTGCTATCCTGTATGCCTAGAATGTCTTTCTTTTCCTAAGCAGAGAACTCCTACATAGCCTTCAAGACCCTGTCCAAGTCTTACCTTCCCTCTGTAGGCTTCTCTGACTCCTTTTTCATTCTCCCGAGCTGCTGACTCCTTGTATGGCAACCATTTGTAGGTTTCCTGGTCCTTGGATGAAGAGCTCCAAGAAGGCGTGGGTTGTATTTGCTTCTTCATAGCCTCGGGCCCAGCACAGTTGCTGAAAGTGACTTTTTGTTGAATAAATGAACATAAAAAATTACTTGATAAGCCTTGAAACTCGATATCCAAATGCAGCGAGGGCTTTAAAAATAGTTTATTATCTAAGTCGGTTAAATATGTTCCATGAAAGCTTTTTAAAAGTTATTACTTTTACTATTAACAAAAATTCAGAGTGAATCCTCAGCCCAGTACAGACATATTTGGCAAAAGTTTCTAAGCAAAGAAACTCAGATTAATGAGACGACGGTATTTGGTCAGATGTGGAGTAGCATTTTCCGTAGCCTGACTTGTACTTTGCAGGACGTGTTCTTTTTGAGGATATGCGATATGCAATGCGGGTCACTGCTTATTATGTTAGATTATTCCTTAATCCTCTTACTCCTGGGCAAACTCAACAAACGACGGGTCAGGACATCACGTGAAAATTCACCTTCGTGGCTGCCACACTGTCTCTTCCTTTTCCTTGCTCTCAGCGTCTGTCTCCCACTGATGGACTAGAGAGATTTGAGCTGGACAGTCCGGCTAAACAAGGCATTTTGTTATTATGTTGCCTTCTCCGAAGATTGCTTTAGATTTAGACTTTTTGTTCACATGGAACTTGTAAAACCCTCTCAGTCCCGACCGGCCTACCAGGGCCTTTGAAAGAACAGAGAATCCTTTGTCATCTGAAAGTGCCGTGTCTGATTTTTTTCACCCAGTGATCTCAAGGTTCGTAAGTACAGACTATTTTCCTGAAATTTCTCTGTACACCTAATTCTTTTTTCTCACAAAAGTAGTTTTTATGATTTTGATAGTATAACTTGCTCATTTTGGACAATGTGGAAAATTCAGAAAATGATAAAGAAGAAAAGGATCATCATTAATAATCCCACAGTCAGAGATGGGTTTGGTTCAGATATTGGTGTACTTCTCTCCATTGTACTATGTTTTTAAAGCAGCTTTATTGAGCCATCCCTGACATAGAATGAGCTGCACATATTTAAAGTGTGCGGTTTGATGAGTTTTGGCGTATTTGCACAGTGGTGAACCATCCCTGCTATTGAGATAATGACCGTCAGCCCCGAAGTTTCCCCGCGCCCTGGGAGCCCCTCCTCTGACTCCATGCCTAGGGGACCACCCGTCTTCTTTCTTCCACCAGAGATTAGTGTGCATTTTCTGGAATTTTATGTAAGTGGAATCATACAGTATGTAGTCTTTTTTGCCTAGCTTCTTTCACTGAAGGTAATTATTTTGTGTTTCATCCATGTTGTGGTGTGTTCGTTCCTCTTCAGTGTGAGTACCATTCTATGGGAGGGACGTACACACTGTGTGAACTTGTGGACTGACATTTGGGTTGTCTCCAGCTATTACAAATACCGCTGCTGTGAGCATCCCTGTGACGTGTGCTTTCATTTCTCCTGAGTCAGTCCCTAAGAGTGAGATGGCTGCGTCACGTGGTAGGTGTATTTTTGACATTTTTTTAGGAAACTGCCAAAGTATTTTCCCAAGCAGTTGTGTTAGTTTGCCTTCCTATCAGCAGTATATGAGAGCTCCAATCCTCCACATCCTTGTCAACACTTGGCACAGTCCATTTATTTATTTGAGGAAGATTAGCCCTGAACTAACATCCGTGCCCATCTTCCTCTACCTTATATGTGGGACATCTGCCACAGCATGGCTTGACAAGTGGTACATAGGTCTGTGCCCAGAATCTGAACAGGTGAACCCCGGACCACCGAAGCGGAACATGTGAACTTAACTGCTGCACCACTGGGCTGGCCCCAAGCACAGTCCATCTTTTTAATTTCAGCCGTTCTAGCAGGTGTGCAATGGGTATCTCATTGTTGTTTTAATTTGCATTTCCCTAATGACTAATGATATTGAAATCTTTCCATGTTCTTATTGCCTTTCGTGTATCTTCTTTTGGTGAAGTGTCTATTCAAACATTTGCACATTTTAAAATTGCATTGTGTGTCTTCTTATTATGGAGTTGTAAATGTACTTTATATATTCTGGATCCAATCCTTTGTTGGATAGGTTTGTTCAATATTTTCTCTCAGTCTATGGCTTGGAGATTTTTTTCATTTTTGTAATAGTGGGTTTTGAGGAACAAAAGTATTAATTTTGGTTAAGTCCACTTTATTGATTTTTTTCTTGATAACTTGTACTTTTTGTGTCCTACTTAAGAAAATCTTTGCTAAACACAAAACTACTAAGATTTTCTCCTATGTTTTCTTCTGTATGTCTTTTGAGTTTTAGCTCTGAAATTTTGATTTATGGTCCATTTTTCGTTGATTTTTGTGTATCATGTGATGTATGGATCCAAGTTCACTTTTTTGCGTATGGTTCTCCAGTTCCAGAACTTTGAATAATCTTGTGTCATCTGTTGGCACGTGTGCTGGGATGACTCGGTTGCTCTGGTGAGCCGTTGAATAATTGTGTGACCCTTTACAGTCTCTGACTTTGTGCATCTCGGTTCAATAATCTATAAAATGGGGGTGAGAGTTACTGGCCCCGTCTGCCTGACAGGGTTGTTACAGAGACCAACTTGAGAGAAGTAATATCGCTTGGGATTTTTTTCTCTGAGAAGTTGGAAACTTGGGAGTCAGCCTTGATTGCTCCTCCACCGTCGTCCCCACACTCAGGCACCTCTTACGTATTTCTTGAATCTGCTGTCTCCTCATGACTCCTGTCCCCCTGTCCCTGTGTGTTCTCGTCTGGGTTGTTGCCACATCCTACTAAGCGGTCTGCTGCCTCCAAGTGCTCATCAAACCTTGTTGGTCGTGTTATCGTCTGCTGACCCCGTGTCAAGTCCAACTTTAGGTCTTGGTCCAGGCCCTCCACGCTCTGGTCCTGCCTCCCCTCTGGCCTCGTCTCCCACTGCTCCCTGAGTGATATTTTACCTGCTGGAACACGCTCCCTCCCCGCCCGCCAACTCTCCCCCCACCCTAGACATGCACACACGCACATGCACACGTGTACTCGCACGCACAGACATGCACACATTCACACGTGCCCTCACACACAAACACGCACCCACAACCTTGCTGTTGCTCACCTCCACGAGTCTCCACTCAGCTGTGAGATCTGCTCTCCCTGTGTCTCCATGTCCCGGCCCCTCTGTGCCCAGAGTGTTGTCACGCAGCCCCGACCACACTGCGTTGTGGGTGCCGTTGTGTCTCTCCCATCACAATGTAAGTGGCTCAAGAAAAGGACTGTTCCTTCATCCACTTTTATTTCTTGATTTCCAGCATAGAGTCTTCCCAGAGTAGAACTGAGAGTTGTCTGAAGAACTAAACATGGTGTCAGGAAAGCGATGACTATTTTTGTGAAGAACTATGGCAGTTTAGTGCAGGTGTGCCTCTTGGAAACCCTCCCTGTGAGCGCTTCCTGGTCTAGATTGAGAACCGGTGACTGCAGACACGTCCCAACCTCGTCTCCAGGATGAGGGAAGGACAGGGGCAGGGCTGGAGCTGCCCTAAGGCCTTCCCCTTTGTCTCTGCACAGGAGGCAGGAGGGCTTATCAAGGACAGTGTCTGAGGCTGAGACCAGGACAATCCTCGTATCTCCCCACGAACTGCTTGTTAAAAGGAACAAATAAAAACTACAGAGCAGAGGCATGAGACTGTGACTGTCCTTATTGCCACTGAACTGGACACTTAAAAATGGTTAAAATGGTAAATTTCATGCGGTGTGTATCATACCACAATAAAGAAATAGGCGAAGGGAAAACTACACAGTAGAAAAACTAGACAGTAAATACCTTAATCAAGTGATCAAACTAACATCGCCGGGAAAGGGCAGATGGATGCGAGGGCCTCTGGACTTGTGCCTGAGCAGGGCCCCCAGTGCCGGCACAGCGTTCCAGAGACGATGCACAGCCGCCATGAGGAGCCATGGGCAGACCGAGGGCGGCTCAGGCTGCGTCGAAGCTGGCCTGTCCTTCTCAGAAGGGTCTGCGTCCCAGGGTATAAGGCAGAGTGAAGAGCGTTCCAGATTCGAGGGTGGCAACTGAACGTCCACATGATCCTGGGTGAGACCCTCTGGGAAAAAGAAGCTTCTTTGTTCTCTTTTCCTTCATTTTTTAGATAAAACAGCTTATTGGGACAACTTGGACTATAAGCCGCAGATCAGACCTGTGTCAAATTTCCTGACTTGGATGACTGGACTGTGGTTGTGGAGGAGACTGTCGTTTTTAATAAATACACACTGAACTACTGAGGGAAGGGTGGCGTGGTGTGCACAGCTTCAAGCAGTTCAGAAGTAAAAGTTAGTGATGACAGACACATGGCAACACGTTAAAGATGATGACTCCATATAAAAGAAATACAGGAGCCCTTTGTACTATTCTTGCAGACTTTCCAGTAAGTTTGAAAGTATTTTGAAATTAAAAAAAACTTTAAATTGCTTTGGGATTGATTCAATAAATGTTTCTCATCCGTACAAGGACATACTTGGCAGTCAATAACAATAATGATAAGAAATATATTTATTGGCATGGAAACAAGTTTAAAATATATCATTGATTCAAGAGAGCAAGTTGGGGTATGATCTCCATTTTATTCAGAACAAAACAAAAATCTCCTTTTCTAAAAAACAGTCTGGAAAGATGTGTGCCAAAATGTTAATTCTGGTTATCTCTGAGTTGTGGAACAAAGGGTAATTTAAATTTTCTACTTTTTGTTTATCTATATTTTCTACTTTTTCTACAGCGTGCATGCATTAACTATGTAATAAAAATTAATTATTTAAAAATCACGAAGAAACAAGTGACAAAAAAGCTTTAAAGCCACCCATGTGCATGGGCTGATGTTGGGGACCCTCCGAGCTGGGGTACCTGCTGTCGTTAGTCACCCCTTTCTGGAGCAGAAGCTCAAAGTTCTTTCAACTTCCGACATCACGCTGTGGAGATTAAAAAAGAAAAACGCGTGTCCTCCATCCTCCGTCTCCCCAACTTCACCTTCTCTGGATACAAAGCTCTCAGGGAGTTGTTTCTGGTGTATCTGGGATTCTAGATTGTTCTCCACGGTTTTAAGTGTTTTCTGGTCAAATTAAAATAGGTGTTTAAGCTGCTGCTCAGCGTCTCCTGGAATTTTCCGTAAGTGACTGAACGATGCTGGATGTCAGGGACCTCACTGCTTCCCCCACTTCCTAAACTTCCGCTCCCACCTTCTCACAGGCCCAGGAGTGAGGGCTGGGTCCCTGGCTGCTTACTTCTGAGGGCTGGAAAGACCGAATCGTCCTCTCCAGAGGACGCTCTCTGACACCGCTCACTCGGAGAACGGCTCCAGCAGAAGCAGAAAGCGCGGCAGACTGAGTTCCTCTCAGCGTCCTCTCTAACGTCTGTTCCATTTCTGGACGTCCGAAAAAATCAGATCATCGTCTGCCATGTTTACCCTTTAAGACTGCGTTTTCCTGTTAATTGAGCATAATGTCACGGTCATCTTACTTTTATTCAAAATGTTTTAATGAATTTGTTTCTCGTCCTTCACTTTTTGGTCTTGAATTCTTCATCAGACCCTTTAACACTCAGTTTCTGAGCACAGATTTGGAGACGTCTGCTCGTTACGCATTGTGCCTCCTGAGACGTGTTGGAGCTTCTTGTCATTTTGACACTGATTTACCGGAATGAACTTCCTGGGACAACACTGTTGCAAAGAAATGCTTCTGCTCTGACACAGATCATTTGCATTAGTTTTGCTCACTTTGGAGACCCAGCTCACGCACTTGGGAAGCTGCAGTCGCAGCGAGCTGCAGCTGTCTGGGGCTGCGCGTTTTCCTGATGTGAGCTATTGCCAGCTCATTGTATTAGCTTCTCGTGTGTGGAGACAGGCAACCTGGTTTATAAAGGCCATTTTTATTTTTTATATTGTCAGCTGGCACAAGAAACCTGGCATGGGGTAAAGGCTTGTGTAGATGCTTGCCCAGCCTCACATCTTGCTGAGCGTAAGTTCTAAGAAATCTTTCTTGTTACCTAAGCCAAAATGTGCTAAAAAGCAACATGAAAGTAACCAAAGGAAAAACTCAGTATTCTTCAGGTCATGATCGTTCAAAATGTGAGGTTCTTCCCATTTTTATCTTAACTGCCTCCCATCCCTTTTGGGAGCAAATCAGCTTAAAAGTTTGCAGCTAAATTTGTTTGTCTGTGTGGTCATTTCTCTTGGGTTTGGAAGAATATTCCTCTTGAAGTACTTGAAGAACCTGGACCTAAAGTTATACTCAGAGAGAGTGGGACGCGGTCACAGGCGCAGCCGTGCAGAGCGGTGGGTAATGGGAGAAACGGCCCTGGAGCCAAGGGTGTGGGGTCACCGTGCGGAACCTGGTTTCACCAACAGCCTCGGAGAGGAGAGGGGCTGGTGAGGCTGCTGCTCTGTCTGTAAGCACTTTACTATCAAATGCTGACCTTTGAGAGGTGAAACCAGCCAGGAAGGCCCAGGGAGGGTCCTTTAAGCCCCCTCTCGAATATCTGGGAGCTGCTCCTCTGTCCAGCCACAGCGCCTCACTGGGCTCCCCCTGCTCTGTCGGGTCAGGCTCCCCTGTCGTGGTGTCTCACACAACCAGGGCCCTCTCCTGAGAGCACTTAGCCTGTTTGTACTGATGCACCATTGC